TGGTTGAGGGTCGTGCAGTTGTCTCAGAGCTGGTTCTGGATTCAGCTAAAGCACAGGAAGGGAAGGGTCCTAAGTTTGTGTCTGCTCGGGAGAATGGCCCTGTAACTAGGTCGCATCCAGTTAGTGTCTATGTAAAATCCCAGAGGCCAGACAATTCTGGTGCTTGTATTTTGCCTGTTGCTAGTGTGTTGTTGGGAAAGGGTGTCGCAACTCTGTCTAATCAGGGTGAGATCCTAGCCAGGGCACAAGGAGAGCAGAAAGGTGATTTGATCCTGTTACCTACTGAGGGTGTGGAAACCTGTAGCAAGAAGGAAAAGATTCCTGAACTTGTGTGTGGCAAAGGGAAGGAGAATGCTTTAGCCTTTTATCTAGGAAGTCTGTAAGTTTGCCTGAAAGGGGATTGTGTAGGAATCCGCCGGATGGGCCAGAGGTAATTGTGGATGTAAGGGAGACCCAGAAAGAGTCTGTTGTTGCTCAGGAAAGTGTTCCTCTAGAGCAAGCCCTCAGTGAAGAGGGTAAGAGCAGAATTTCTGTGAGGGGTGAATTGTTGCATAGAAAAGCCCCTAGGGAAAGGAATCCTCATGGAGTCTTTGCAAGCAGTTTACTGCAACTGAAGGGTGTGAAAGTGATTTAATCAAGAAAGTTTCAGTTCCTAACAGCCAGAAATGTTCTGTTGTGAATGGATCCACTGACTTTCCTATTGAAAGATCCAGTGTGGATAGCTTCGAGAAGATCTCAGATGGAGTGAAAGCAGTTAAGAAAGTTAAACAGTCCTATAACCAAGTGGCTGTGTTTGGCCAGCTTGTTGGGGAGAAGACCCACTCCCAGTTTGACCCCCTGGGGTTTTGGGGTGGCCAAAGGGCACGGGCCGCATAAACCTTCCGACATGCGGCCTGCGAGTGCTATCGACCACCCCCAACCTAAGGGAGGGCGCGAAACTGGAAGGGCCTGGTGTAACTCCTACCAAGGAATGGGAGAGATGCTGGGGCATCCATGGGAACACTGGTGGCTTCGAACTTCCCTAGGTCACCGGCTAAAGTGACCCCGCTCAGTTCAATCTCGAAGGGGTGAGAGATGTGACGAAGTGGGACTGTTCTTAATGTTTCCTCTGAATCGTGTGGGGGTGCCTCAGTTTCCCCTGTGCAGTTCTTAAGTATCTAGGGGGTGGGGTAAGGGTGTATGATTATTGCAGAGCCCTAGAGGGCAGGTGTGTGCAGGGGTCTGAACACAGAGAATGGCCAACACCCTGTTTCCTGGCAACTGATGGCCTGGGCCCTTCTCCCCTGCAAGGTGAGAGCTAAAAGGTTGGAGAATAAAGGAATCAGGTGACCTCCTGGCCCGGGAAAGGGATAAAGCCCAGAGGAGGAGGGGCTGGAGGGAGTTTCAGTTTGGGGCTGGCTGGAGACATGAAGTACAGACAGGGTTGTCTGGCTCACTGCCCCCCAAAATGGACGCAGCTGAGGGGTCCTGTTCTCTGCACCTACAAGCTCTGTGTTAGACCATGTTCCTGTCGTCTAATAAACCTCTGTGTTACTGGCTGGCTGAGAGTCCCGTCTGACTGCGGAGTTGGGGGACAGGACTCTCTGGCTTCCCCAGGACCCCGCCTGGGCGGACTCGCTGTGGGACGCGCACGGAGGGGCAGAGGAGGCTGAATGCTCCGAGGTCAGACCCAGGAAGGTGGAAGCCGGGTGAGCTGTGTGTCCTGAAGACAGGCTGCTCACAGGAAGGCGACTGCCCCAGAGTTCTGACTGGCTTCATGGGGAGCAGTTCCAGAGCATCGCCCAGGGACTCCGTGACACGTGGTGCCCAGCGGTGCTGAGGGCCGTCTGTGGCTTCTGCTGCCATTTTGGGGAAGGGCCAGACTTGGGGAGGTGAAAGCAGAAATCAGAAATTCACGAGAACCCTTAAAAAAACTCCCAACGAGCCGAGAGTGAGCCCCCTGACAGAGAGTGAGCCCCCTGACAGCAGCGTGACAGCTGGCAATGCTGGGCCATAGGGGGGTGTGCAGCCCCTGCACCACGGGGCCCGATCTGCGAGTGGGACCTCTGGGTGCTGCTGCAACGCAGACAACAAATCACAGCAACCGTTTGCCCGCCTTTGCATTGTGAGGGGTGAGTGAAAGTTATCAGCCATGGCTGGGCCCTGGGAAGCAGAGAATAGCCAGAGTGTAGCGTGCTCCAGCCACTTGCCCTCTCTGCATCTCACCCACCTCCTTCTGCCCATCGCCTGCCCAAAGTTGCCACCTGGCTGGATTTAAGCAGCCTGGCTGGTTAGCAGATTTCCTGGGCTGGCTTGGTTCCCTCGGGTCACCGCCCCACAGCTTGGCCTGCCACGCCGTGCCGGGACAGAGTAAGGAAAGTGATGAAAGAATGTAAAAATGCACAGACTGCCATGTGTGTTTGGGTGGCCGGCGGCCGGGTTTTGCCGGGGGTGGGGGTGGCAGGCGGCTGGTTTTTGGTTGGGGTGGGGATGGCTGGCAGCCAGGTTTTGGCAGCGGGGGGAGGGGGGACAGCAGCCAGGTTTTGTTGGTGTGGGGTGGCAAGTAGCCCGTTTGCCTCCATCTGGGAGGAGGCCACCCTAGGGCTGGAAGCAGGACCAGCGCAGGGCCCTGAAGGCAGTTCTGCACCCCCTGGGAGGCTGGCGGGGATGCCAGGGGGTCTCAGCAAGCCACGTCAACCCACTGAACGCGCCCAGAGGGGCCTTACTGAGAATCAGGCCCTGGCGGGTCGCTAGGCAGTGGGAGAGAATACAACCATGCCCAGCCGCCCCGGGATGATGGGGAGGGACAGACTGGGGAGAGGCAGGAAGGGGGCTAGGCTGTGGGAAGACACGGGGAGGTGAGCAGGGTTGGGGGACCCATATGCTCCCCAGTTAATAGGGCTACACAGGGCTATACGGAGACTACTCAGGCAGGGCAAGGAGCAGACACATCTCTCTGCAGGGCCCTAGCAGCGCCTGGTGCTTTGCAGTCTCTCCCTGTCCTGAATTGCTTCCAGTCTCAGCTAATACGCCAGGCACTGAGGATGGGGCCTGGGTGGACACTAGGGAGACTGCCCCCAGGAGGGAATTACTTACTAGATGCTGCCGGACTGGAGCTGGCCTGGCCTCTGCCCAGCTCAATGTCCCATCTCCTGCTAGGGCCAGGACTAGCTGCTGAAGAGGAAGATGGGGGCAAATCTGGGCTAGCCAGCCCCTCGGGGAGCTCCTGGGGGAGCCCAGGATTGAGGGGCGGCAGCAGAGCTGTGGGTGGGAGCCCAACTCTGGACTAGTCCGCGGCTGGTGGCCGGCACTGAGGGATCTTACCAGAGCAGTACTTTTCTGGGGAGCCGTCCCTTCTGGGGTGAGCCCTGTGCGACCCAGACCCTGCCTGGGGGCGTGGTGAGCTTGGTCTGCCTGGAGGCACTCACTGTGCTTTGATTCTGTCCTTACCCTCTCCCCCTGCCCCAGAAGTCTGACCCTCTCCCTTCCCTTCACTGAGTGAGGGGGCTGCAGGGGGGCAAAGCCCTGCTCTGGCCTCGTACATTCTTTGTGGGGATGAGCCAGAGCCCAGGACGTGAGGATAAGGCAGATCCGGGTCTGGGACGGGCGGCTGAAGGGGAAGCCAGCGGGGGCCGAGATTCCAGCCCAGCAGCTGGGAAATCCCCAGGCCACATCCTAGTTACACACACGAGCCCCTGTTCTGGGCAGGCAACATCCTGGAGAGCCCGCACGCCAGCACCGGCCCTCCCAGCTGCTGCTCCCCAACCCTGCCCACGAGGGGGGAGGTGGCACAGAGCTCTGCTTTCAGGGGCCTGCCCGCCTCCCCAAAGCCCCCAGGGGTGTCCTTCCCTGGGAAGCAGCTCCGTCTGGTGGTTAGAATAGGGGGCTGGGTCCCAGGACCCCTGGGTGCTCTCTGTGGTGCCAGGAAGGGAGTGGGATCTGGTGGGTAGAATAGGGGCTGGGCGTCAGGACTCCTGGGTTCTCTCCATGCTCCCAGGAAGAGAGTGGGCTCTGGGGGTTGGAATAGGGGCTGGGCGTCAGGACACCTGGGTTCTCTCTGTGGTCCTGGGAAGGGAGTGGGCTCTGGTAGGTAGAATAGGGCACTGGGTGTCCTGTTGGCAGGTGGCTGATCACTGTGTGACCTTGGCGGAGTCTCTGCCCTCCTGTGCCTTGATTTCCCTAAGTGGGAGGTGGGACCCCTGTACTTCCCCGGGGGCTGGGGAGCTCCCTGTTTGCAAAGGGGGTTGTGCACGTGTCCCCTGCTCCACACACGCTAATTGCAACGGGCTCTTGTTATCCTGGCTGGGCCCCAGGCCCCTCGCTCAGAAGCTACCGAGGTGCAGCTTTGCATGCTGGGACTCGTAGTCTCTGTGGCCCACATAGCCCAGGACCTGTGGCCATGGCAGGTTACAGCTGAGGCCCAGGGAGGCTGCAGGCCACGAGCAGGGAGAACTGGAGCCGTTAGCGACGGGAGAACGGCCTAGGTCCAGCTGGCTCCTCTGCCAAGCCCAGGGCATGGCTGGTCCCTGCACCCTTCCCTGGGGCCGCGCCCGGTGACTGTCACGCACGGGGCCCCCATCCCACCCTGGAGACAGTTGGCTGGCTGGGATCACTCTGGGGGCTCAGGCCATCCCATTCCTCGTTTCTGTTCCCCCTGGAGCTCCCCTGGACTGTTCCCTCCCCCCTTCGGGGGTCACACTCTTTAGGCAGCTCCCAGCCGGCCGTCACCAGTGAGTTCAGATGCCCCCTGCCCAGAGACACGCAGCGCACAGGGCTCCGTACCCGCCGGCCAGGCCTTGGCTCATCCCCCCAAGTGTGTCCTGTGAAGTGTGGGCTGGAAAGACCCCGGCCCCCTGTGGCCGAGGGGAAGGTGGGGGTGGGGGGTTTCCGTCTGAGTGGGCAGAGCGAATCCACGCCGCAGCAGCTGTGTTTCCCGGGGAATTCTCCAATCCAGGCTCCTGCGATGGCTCCGAGTCCGGTTAAACGGACAGGATATAAAGCCCTCCCTCCGGGCTGCTGCTGCCCCAGTCCAGAAGGGAAGAGCCACCCAGAGATGTGGCCCTAGGTGCAGGGAGCTGCTGCGGGGAAGGCAGACCCAGGCGAGAGCGCTGGGGCTTTGGGACTCCAGGAGACTCAGGTAAGGGGGTTTCGGGTGCGCGAGGGTCCTGCGGGCTCGGAGCAGTTAAGGGTGGAAAATCCCGGGGAGACTCCTGCCCAGCTCCCACCCCAAAGCCTCTGAAGCGAGGTGTGCAAGATCCCCACGCTGCAGCCCCCACTCTCATCCTGCCCAGCGTGGCTGTGGGCATCCAGTGTACTTCCTACCCCGGTATGAGCGTGGGGCAGAGCAGAGGGATCTGCCTGTCTCGGACCGCTGGTCAGAGGAAGCTGCAAAACACCGTGTGGCGGACAGTACTGAACTAGCCAGCCTAGATGAAGCTGCCTCCCCATAGCAGTTAGGGGTTGGCAGGAGGGTTTCTAGCCTTTCTAAATTCTTGTGCTATCTAACATAGCTGTGGATGTTATTCACATGAGTGTCTAGTCAAATCCTTCTTTGAACCCACCAAAGCTCTTGGCTTCAGAACAATCTTGTGGCAGTGGGTTCCAAAGGTTAACTATTGTCACGGAGTCCTGGGGCGATGCTCTGGAACTGCTCCTTACGAAGCCAGGCAGGACTCTGGGGAAGTCTCCTTTCTGGGAGCAGCCTGTCTGCAGGACACACAGCTCACCCGGCTTCTACCTTCCTGGGTCTGACCTCGGAGCATTCAGCCTCCTCTGCCCCTCCGTGCGCTTCCCACAGCGAGTCCGCCCAGGCGGGGTCCTGGGGAAGCCAGAGGGTCCTGCCCCCCAGCTCCGCAGTCAGACGGGACTCTCAGCCAGCCAGTAAAACAGAAGGTTTATTAGACGACAGGAACATGGTCTAACACAGAGCTTGTAGGTGCAGAGAACAGGACCCCTTGGCTGGGTCCATTTTGGGGGGCAGTGAGCCAGACAACCATGTCTGCCCTTCACTCCATGTCCCCAGCCAGCCCCAAACTGAAACTCCCTCCAGCCCCCCCTTCTCTAGGCTTTGTCCCTTTCCTGGGCCAGGAGGTCACCGGATCCCTTTGTTCTCCAACCCTTTAGCTCTCACCTTGCAGGCGGGGAGGGCCAGGCCATCAGTTGCCAGGAAACAGGGTGTCGGCCATTCTCTGTGTCCAGACCCCTGCCCACACCTGCCCTCTAGGGCTCTGCAATGATCATACACCCTTATCCCACCCCCTAGATACTTAAGAACTGGATAGGGGAAACTGAGGCACCCCCACAATATTCAGAGAAAACATTAAGACCAGTCCCGCTTCGTCACAACTATATCTGGTGTCTCTAGAAAAGCCAATGTTTCCATATCCCATGCTGTGCTGTCAGGGAAAGTCCCAGTCTGGAGCCCCTCTAGGGAGGGGAATATTCTCCACTGCTGGGTGGGAGCCAGCGGGGACTGTGCCAGTCTGGGCCTCCCGCAGTAAAGGGGGGCTGACCCCTGTCACACCTTGGGGCCCGGTGGAGGGGGCAGCTCTGCGATGGGCAGCGAGGTGCGGGATCAAGGTGCTAGCTGGCTGGCTGAGACATGCGTGTGAGCACGCTGCACACGCTGGTGTGGGCGTGTGATTCCCAGCTTGGGCGGGCTCCCATGCTAGCTCTGCTCGAGTACGTGCCCACGGGGTCAGGCGGGGCGGCTGGCCTGACCCCTTACCGTGCCGCCGCTCCACGCGGCTGTTCTTAGCTCTCTCGCTCCAGCCCAGCGAGCGCCTCTGACCCCCGGGGATTGGCACCTCCCAGCTGGTGCACAGACGTCCCCCATGGGACCCTCGCCAGCGCTGGGCAAAGCCAGCCCCAGGGGAACCGCTGGGGTCCGTAGGGCTCCCCCCGCCTGCTCCTACTGAGCGGGGCTGTCTGTGTCGTGAGAACGGCCACAGCAGGTGAACGCCCCCGGCGGCTGCGGGGCGAACGGTGGCCATGCGGGGCGAAGGTTTGCTGGCCATCTGGCCGCTCTTTGGTGCTTTCTTCCATTTGGAAAAGCCTCAGCTGCAGTCAAGGAGCAAAACACTCCTGTGACCAGCCTCACCCCACGGATAGCCGAGAATAGCTCTGACGGGCCGTGCTGAAATGCCTTGGTGTGAAGGGCTGGACCAACCCGGAGTAACAAACCCACCCGGGAGAGCCCTGGGCCGCTCCCAACCCTGGCTTGGGGGGTCTGAGCTCCGGGAGAGCCGTGGGCCGCTCCCAGCCCTGGCTCGGGGGGTCTGACACCCCCTGGGAGAGCCCTGGGCCGTTCCCAACCCTGGCTTGTGGGGTCTGAGCTCCGGGAGAGCCGTGGGCCGCTCCCAGCCCTGGCTCGGGGGGTCTGACACCCCCGGGAGAGCTCTGGGCCGCTCCCAACCCTGGCTTGGGGGGTCTCAGCTCCGGGAGAGCCGTGGGCCGCTCCCAGCCCTGGCTCGGGGGGTCTGAGCTCCGGGAGAGCCCTGGGCCGCTCCCAGCCCTGGCTTGTGGGGTCTGAGCTCCGGGAGAGCCGTGGGCCGCTCCCAGCCCTGGCTCGGGGGGTCTGAGCTCCGGGAGAGCCCTGGGCCGCTCCCAGCCCTGGCTCGGGGGGTCTGAGCTCCGGGAGAGCCCTGGGCCGCTCCCCGTGGAGCTCGGGGGGGTCTCGGCTGGACGGTTTGCTGTGAACAGTGGCCCAGCTGGCCCTAGCAGAGTGCGGAGGTCTGAGCTCCCCCCGCTCCCGGTGAGCCTTTCTGTCTCGGCAGGCGGCACTCGGCGACGGTGAGGTTGGCTGCGGGCCATGCTGGGCACAGCACGGGGCCGGGGCCTTTGCCCTCCCACCGGGGAGCTGATGGGGACGCTGGTCTGGCTCTCGCTCTGGGTGACGGTGGCGCTGTCTGAGGGGTAAGGACGTGTCTCCCGCTTTGGGTTCTTCCAGGAGCATCCAGCCCCGGGCTCCCACCGGAGCTGTTGCACCCCCTACCCCCCAGGCCCTGCACCAGGAGGGCCCCAGGACGGAGGGGAGCAGAGCTGCGCCCCAGGGCATGGGGATGTGAACCCCCAGGTGGCCCTGCAGCCACAGGGCTCTGCTCTGCGCTCTGCCTGCCCGTGGTCCCCGGGCCGGTCCCCGCAGGTCCGCACTGCGCTGGGGTCAGTGGGGGGACGGGAAAAGCCTGAGTCCACTCGCATCCCTCAGGACAGAGGGGTGAGGCAGTGCCGGGGGCAGGGTAAGGGTTAGTTTAGGGGCCCCCACTCTCCCCCTAGGCTGGGCTCCTCACCCCCCAACTCCAGCCAGTCCCAATGCCTCACAGCCCCCGCATGGCTTCACCCTCCGCTGCTCGAGCAGGGGCCGGGCAGTCCGGTAACCCCATGGCAGCCCTCCCCCTTGTGACTCCAGTGAGAGTGCGGGGGGGTGGGGGAGGGCTGGGAAGCCAGATCCCCACACAGCTGGGACGGGGGAGCCAGGCTCAGCACAGGCCTGGGCTGCACAGGGGGGCTCCGGATCCGAGTGCTGAGGGTTTGGTGCTGGGACTCCTGGCTGGGATGATTTAACTGGGAATTGGTCCTGCTTCGAGCGGGGGGTTGGACTAGATGACCTTCTGGGGTCCCTTCCAACCCTGATATTCTATGATTCTCTGATTCTATGACTCCTGGCCAAGCTTGGCCGGTTCAGGGCCGGGATTGCAATCTGGGGGGAGGGGTGGGAAAGGCTGGGTCCAGCGTCCTGGTTTAGGGGTCTGGGTCCAGGGCTCTGGTTGGGGGGAGCTGGGTCCAGGGCTCCGGTTTGGAGGTCCAGGGTTGTGGTTTGGGGGTCCAGGGCTCCGGTTGGGGGGAGCTGGGTCCAGGGCTCCGGTTTGGAGGTCCAGGGTTGTGGTTTGGGGGTCCAGGGCTCCGGTTGGGGGGAGCTGGGTCCAGGGCTCCGGTTTGGAGGTCCAGGGTTGTGGTTTGGGGGTCCAGGGCCCCGGTTGGGGGGGCTGGGTCCAGGGCTGGGGGGGTTGAGGGGGCTGGGTCCAGGGCTCGGTTGGGGGGGCTGGGCCCGTTCCTCGTGCGGATGCCGGTGCGGTTGCAGGCGCTGGTGCGAGAGGACGGAGCAGGTGACGGAGGAGGAGGTGGTGAGCCCCCGGCGCGAGCAGGCGGTGCCCTGCCCGGACGTGTACCAGTACAACCTGGCGGGCTGGCGCATCGACCAGCACAGGATGCGCCAGGCCTACGGTGGGGACCAGGCCATTGCCCACTTCCATGCCCAGGCCGGGCCCACCGCCCCCCTGTGCTACATCTACAAGTGAGTGGGCCGGGAGAGCGGGGGGGTGTCATGGGGTCCCTGGGCGATGCTCTGGAACTGCTCCCCATGAAGCCAGGCAGGACTCTGGGGCAGTCTCCTTTCTGCGAGCAGCCTGTCTTCAGGACACACAGCTCACCCGGCTTCCACCTTCCTGGGTCTGACCTCGGAGCATTCAGCCTCCTCTGCCCCTCCGTGCGCTTCCCCCAGCGAGTCCGCCCAGGCGGGGTCCTGGGGAAGCCAGAGGGTCCTGCCCCCCAACTCCGCAGTCAGACGGGACTCTCAGCCAGCCAGTAAAACAGAAGGTTTATTAGACGACAGGAACATGGTCTAACACAGAGCTTGTAGATGCAGAGAACAGGACCCCTCAGCTGCGTCCATTTTGGGGGGCAGTGAGCCAGACAACCCTGTCTGTACTTCATGTCTCCAGCCAGCCCCAAACTGAAACTCCCTCCAGCCCCTCCTCCTCTGGGCTTTGTCCCTTTCCCGGGCTGGGAGGTCACCGGATTCCTTTGTTCTCCAACCCTTTAGCTCTCACCTTGCAGGGGGGAAGGGTCCAGGACATCAGTGGCCAGGAAACAGGGTGTCGGCCATTCTCTGTGTCCAGACCCCTGCCCACACCTGCCCTCTAGGGCTCTGCAACGATCATACCCCCTTACCCCACCCCCTAGAGACTTAAGAACTGCCTAGGGGAAACTGAGGCACCCCACACGATTCAGAGGAAACGTTAAGAACAGTCCCACTTCATCACAGGGGGCATCCAGGCCAAGCCGGGGCCACCAGCGGGGGCAGAGCAGGGGATGCTGGGGGGAGGTGGGATCGGGGCGGCCAACAGGGAACCAAGGGAGATTCAGCCCAGGCGTGAATCCCTCAACTTGACCCCTCTCTGTGCCACCGCCCTCTCTGTGCCCCCATCCCATGTCTGTGCCCCACCCCGCCATGTCCCCATCCCCTCTCTGTGCCCCCACCCCATGTCTGTGCCCCATCCCCGCCATGCCCCCGTCCCCTCTCTGTGCCCCCATCCCCGCTCTGTGTACCCCCACCCCTGTCCTTGCCCCCCATCTCCTTTCTGTACCCCCATTCCCGCTCTATGTACCCCCACCCCTGCTCTGTGCCCCCACCCCCTCCCTGTGCCCCCACCCCATGTCTGTGCCCCACCCCGCCGTGCCCCCGTCCCCTCTCTGTGCCCCTTTCCTGTGCCCCCCATGTCTGTGCCTCCACCCCTCTCTGTCCCCTCATCCATCACTGTGCCTCTCCCCTGCCCGGCAGGCCCCCGGACACGAGGCCCGTGGTGTGGAACCGCACGGTGCGAGCCTGCTGCGAGGGCTGGAGCGGGCCCCACTGCACCCAGGGTGAGGAGCCTGCCGGAGCCAGGCCCAGGGCATCGGGCTGGGGCAGGCGGGGGCTGGGTTTGGGAGGGCGGGGGTGAGCCGGGCACGGGACGTCGGGCTGGGGCAGGCGGGGGCCGGGTTTGTGGGGGGAGCCGAGCATGGGGCGTCAGGCTGGGGCAGGCGGGGGCCGGGTTTGCGGGGGGAGCCGAGCACGGGGCGTCGGGCTGGGGCAGGCGGGGGCCGGGTTTGCGGGGGGAGCCGAGCACGGGGCATCGGGCTGGGGCAGGCGGGGGCCGGGTTCGCGGGGGGAGCCGGGCACGGGGTGTCGGGTTGGGGCAGGCGGGGGGCCAGGTTCAGGGTTAGGGAGCCATACATTGGGCTGCCCTGCACCCTTGGGAACGGGCCCAGGCCAACGCCATTGTGTTTAGCCCCCGTCCACACGGCCTCACCCCCAAAGGGAGTCCCGAGGCCACGCCGGGTGCCACGGGCAGGGGGAGCTTCCGCGGGCTCTGAGGTCTCTGTGGCCACCGGAGTTCTTTGGACACGTAGGAAGGCTCAGGGGTCGTTGGGGGCACAGCGGGGCCCCGATGGAGCATGACCCAGGGCCTGGCCTCGTTCTCCCCTGACCAGTGTCTGTCGCTCTCTCCCAGGCGAGGGCTTCCTGGGACTCTGCTTCTCTACATGGCAGTGCCAGGCCGGCCTGGGCACCTGGAACCTGTCCCTGCTGAGCATGGCCGAGTGCTGCGGGCGGCCCTGGGGCCGCAGCTGGAAGAACACCTCCTCCGAGGTCTGCCTCAGCTGCTCCGCCCTGCCCCTGCCAGGCGAGTGCTGGCTCCGGGGGCAAGGGGCACTGCCCTGCGTGCTGCTCCCAGTGCCAAGCCCTGCTGCATTCCCCCTGGGGCAGCGCCCCGGCCACCCAGCCAGTCCCACGCTGCAGCACCATGGAGCCGCGGCCCCGGGAGATGGCAGCTCCCAGCATGCCGTGCTCCCTGCATCGTGCTCTCCGGCACAGCCGCGGGGGTGCTGAGGAGCGAGACCCTCCCGCCCCCAGGCAGCCGCGACCCTCAGGAGAGACCCCAGGGTGGCCCTGGCATGGTCGATCGCCCAGCCCTGGGCAGCTGAGCTCTGACTAACCCTCCCAGGGGGCGAGTCGGAGCCCCCCACGCCAGGTCTCCCAGAGGCCAGTTACTGGGTGCCTCCCAGCCCATGCTGCCTCTCCTCACCCCCACGGCGGCTCACAGCAGGTCCCGGTTCTGGAGTTCTGTGGGTGTCACCGGACCGTGACGTGCCCGCTAGCTGATCGGTCCCCTTGTTCTTCCGCAGGGGACCTGCCGGCCCCCTTCCTCCTCCGGCCCTTGCCCCCCACGGCCCTGCTGGGCCTGCCCAGGCCTCGCCACCGCCTCTTTGCCACCTGCGTCACCTGGGCCGGCTTCCACTACCGCAGCTTTGATGGGAAACATTTCCACTTCCACGGGGACTGCACCTACAGCCTAGCTGCTGCCTCCGATGGCACCTGGGCCGTGGACATCTCGGGCAGCGGGACCTGTGCACCATCACACTGCCACCGGGTACGGGGTCTCACCGGGGTCTTCCGCGACCAGCCAGGGCCTTGGTTGTTGGGGGAGGGGGGAGACAGGAAGAAAGGGAGAGGGGGGTGAGAAAAGAGCAAGGGAGAGTGTGACGGGTTGGGTCACAGGGATCCCCTTGGGACTGTCACCTGATGTACTGAAGTTACCTCTGAGCCCGTTTTCCCTGCCAGCCTGGGACTCCAGAACCCTGCCTTGTTGAGCCAGACACGCCGCAACACAGACCCAGGTCTGGTCCACGCCCCAAAGCTACAGGCTTTAACTGAAAACCACTCAGCAGGTTCCCTGTCTCCAGCACCCAGACACCCAGCTCCCAATGGGATCCAAACCCCAAATAAATCCGTTTTACTCTGTATAAAGCTTATACAGGGTAAACTCATAAATTGTCCACCCTCTATATCACTGAGAGAGAGAGATATGCACAGCTGTTTGCTCCCCCAGGTATTAATCACTTACTCTGGGTTAATTAACAAACAACAGTGATTTTATTAAGTATAAGAAGTAGGATTTAAGTGGTGTCAAGTAATAACAGACAGAACAAAGTTACCAAGCAAAATAAAACCTAGCACGCAAGTCTAAGCCTAATAGATGAAGAAACTGAATACAGGTAAATCTCACCCCCAGAGATGTTCCAATAAGCTTCTTTCACAGACTGAAAGAAAAGGAGACTCGTGGCACCCTAGAGACTAACCAATTTATTTGAACATGAGCTTTCGTGAGCTACAGCTCACTTCATCGGATGCATACCGTGGAAACTGCAGAAGACATTATATAGCTCATGCTCAAATAAATTGGTTAGTCTCTAAGGTGCCACAAGTCCTCCTTTTCTTTTTGTGGATACAGACTAACACGGCTGCTACTCTGAAACCTTCCACAGACTAGACTCCTTCCTAGTCTGGGCCCAATCCTTTCCCCTGGTGCAGTCCTTGTTAGTTCCAGCTCAGGTGGTAACTAGGGGATTTCTCATGACTGGCAACCCCCTTTGTTCTGTTCCACCCCCTTCTATAACTCTGGCCCAAGGTGGGAATCTTTTCTCTCTCTGGGTCCCCACCCCTCCTTCTAAATGGAAAAATACCAGATTTAAGATGGATTCCAGCATCATGTGACATGGTCCATTCTTCCTGGGCTGGAACACAGGGAGGCCTGCAAGTGAACAGAGCCACTGACAGCCAATTGTCCTAGTCAGTGGGGGCCATCAAGATTCCAAACCACCATCCATGGCCCACACTTTGCATAATTACAGTAGGACCCCAGAGTTATACTTTATATTTCTAGCTTCAGATACAAGAATGATACATACATACAAATAGGAGGAATATATTCAGTAGGTTATAACCTTTGTTACGATACCTTACAAGAGACCTGTTGCAGAAAGCATATTCCAGTTGCATCATATTTACCCTAATAAGCATATTTCCATAAATCATATGGAGTGCAATGTCCTAGAGAGCGAGCCAGAGGATGGGGTAAAGACACACCAAGAGCAGGCTGGGTGTGAAGGGGGCTGCCAGGGAGAGCCCAGGGGGCAGACTGGCTGAGGAGGGGCCGGTGGAGGTCACCTACCCCGCTGCTCCGGAGAGCTTCGGGCCAGAAGGACCTCCCAGGGCACAGGCTGTGAACTTCAGCCAGTTCTGCCTGGCTTGAGCCCTGTGGTTTGTGTCTGGCTACAGTGTCTCTCGGGGAAGTAGCCAGTCTGCTAGGGGAGCCAGCAAGGGATGGAGACTCCACACTGGCCGGGGAAGCAGGTCCCAGTGGCTCACCCCCGCGCTGTTAAAGCCATGGGCCATGTTCTGCCGCCCCCCTCTAGCTCCGCGGGCCCTTGAGCTGCCATCTCGCTCACTCCCTGCCCTGCCTTCCCCGCAGGTGCTGCGCATGCTCTTCGGGCTGGACCTGGTCGTGGCTCGGGGCCGAAACGTCTCCGTGAACGGGGTCGTGGTGCCGGAGGGGGAGCCGCTCCTGCAGGACGGTGAGGAGGACAGAGAGCTCTGTGGGGCAAAGCCACAGGACCAGCACGCGGCACACAGGGGCTTCTGATCTGCCCATCTGCCTGGCAGAGCCGCGGGGTGTCCCCGTGTCCTGGGCTTCCTGGGGTCTCCCCAGGCCTGTTTGTCTCCAGGCACTTGGTGCTTAGGTCCCCTGACACCCACTGGGGTCCACCCATGCCCATCGCCTGGGCAGAGCTGGTGGGAGGAGAGGTCTAGCCTGGGACCGGCCTGCACGGGCCCCGGGGAGGGACTGCTGGGGCCATAGGGGCGAGCTAGGAGGAATGGGGTGGAATTAAGGGACACACAGAGCACCTAGGCCGTGCCCAGGCGGGAGCAGGCCGACAATCCGTCACCCAGGGCTCTGCCCAGCCCAGCCTGGGGCTCCCAGCCCCTCCTGGAGACGATCCCACTGCTGGATCCATCTCCCTGGCAGGGAGGCCCCGACGTGCAGCCCATGCGCCCGTTGCTCAGTCCCGGCCCGTCTCTCTGGGCCCTGGTTGGCAGCCGGGCACGTGGCTCTGCTGAGCTGCCCACCGCTCTCCCCCCACAGGGATCAGCGTCCGGTGGCTCGGTGACTTCGTCTTCGTGGAGAGCGGCCTGGGCGTGCGGGTCAAGTCTGACGGGCGCCACACGGTGTATGTGACGGTCAGCGGGGAGCAGCGGGGCACCACGCGCGGGCTCTGCGGGCTCTACAATGACGACCCTGCCGGTGAGCACAGCCCTGCGGGGGCAACCCGCCTTGCTCACCGCGTGGGGCCGGGCCCCCTGCCGACACTGCTCTGCCCCCAACCCGCCCTGCTCACCGCGTGGGGCCGGGCCCCCTGCCGACACTGCTCTGCCCCCAACCCGCCCTGCTCACCGCGTGGGGCCGGGCCCCCTGCCGACACTGCTCTGCCCCCAACCCGCCCTGCTCACCGCGTGGGGCCGGGCCCCCTGCCGACACTGCTCTGCCCCCGACCCGCCCTGCTCACCGCGTGGTGCCGGGCCCCCTGCCGACAGTGCTCTGCCCCCGACCCGCCCTGCTCACCGCGTGGTGCCGGGCCCCCTGCCGACAGTGCTCTGCCCCCGACCCGCCCTGCTCACCGCGTGGGGCCGGGCCCCCTGCCGACAGTGCTCTGCCCCCAACCCGCCCTGCTCACCGCGTGGTGCCGGGCCCCCTGCCGACAGTGCTCTGCCCCCAACCCGCCCTGCTCACCGCGTGGGGCCGGGCCCCCTGCCGACAGGGCTCTGCCCCCAACCCGCCCTGCTCACCGCGTGGGGCCGGGCCCCCTGCCGACAGGGCTCTGCCCCCAACCCGCCCTGCTCACCGCGTGGGGCCGGGCCCCCTGCCGACAGCGCCCTGCCCTGGGGACCCGAGACAGCTTCATCTCCACCAGCCCTGCTGGGAACGTCTCTCCCTCGCAGCACTCCCACCTGCTAGGGAATGGGTCAGTCCCACCTCCTCCATCCCCGTGCCGGGGGCACCTGCCCTGGTGCAGCAGGATCCAACCTGCCGTCCTCCGGTCCTGCTGGGTGAGGGCCCCCAGCTCGCTCCAGGGGCTCTTCTCTCCTGGGCCTGCCTGTGTCTTGGTGACAGTGCCCCCAGAACAAGCCCTCCCACTGTCCATGCCTTTCCCCTGGGGCGGAGCAGGGAACAGACACCAGGGCCTGTTCCTGGCGTGAGCTGGTGAGCGTGGAGTGAGAGCTGAGGCTGGAGATCTGGCAGCGGGGGGTGTCCCCCTTCCCAGCCCCCACCTGCCAGCAGGGGCGGTTTCCTCTCCCCACATCCCCAGCGCCTGTTTTGCTTGCAGATGACTTCCTGCGTGTAGGAGGGGATGTGGCCACGTTCGCCGCCAGCTTCGGGAATTCCTGGAGGGTCCCAGATGCCAGCCCAGAGGTAGTGGGGAGGGCCCCTGCTGCAGTCCTCTCCCATGGCTCAGAGGGAGGGGGAAGGCGTGACACCGCCCTGGGGCTGCGCTGGTGCCCAGAGCCCTTCGCCCCCGTGCAGCGTATTCCTGACCCTGCGGGGAGCAGCTGGAGCTGGGGTGTTGGTGGCAGCTGGTGGAGATGATTCTCCCGCACAGGAGCAGTGCGTGCTCAGAAGGGGGAGCGCCCGGGGGCTGCATGGGGTGAGGTGGGGGTGCTCCCCCGTGCGGCTCTGGGGGGCTCCGGGCTGACGGCTGGGGGTGCTCCCCCTGTGCGGCTCTGGGGGCGCAGGGCTGACGGCTGGAGGTGCCCCCCCGTGAGGCTCTGGGAGCGCCGGGCTGACGGCTGGGGGTGCTCCCCCGTGCGGCTCTGGGGGGCGCCGGGCTGACGACTGGGGGTGCTCCCCCTGTGCGGCTCTGGGAGCGCCGGGCTGACGGCTGGGGGTGCTCCCCCGTGCGGCTCTGGGAGCGCCGGGCTGACGGCTGGGGGTGCTCCCCCGTGCGGCTCTGGGGGGTGCCGGGCTGATGGCTGGAGGTGCCCCCCCGTGCGGCTCTGGGAGCGCCGGGCTGACGGCTGGGGGTGCTCCCCCGTGCGGCTCTGGGGGGCGCCGGGCTGACGGCTGGGGGTGCTCCCCCGTGCGGCTCTGGGGGGCTCCGGGCTGACGGCTGGGGGTGCTCCCCCGTGCGGCTCTGGGGGCACGGGGCTGACGGCTGGGGGTGCTCTGGCACTGACGTGGGTTCTGCTCTGCCCAGGTGCAGCTCCCGTGCCAGGACGTGGCGGAGGCGGGAGACAGCTGTGACGATGCGGAGGCCAGCGCCGTGAGGCAGGAGGCCGAGGCCGTGTGCCGGAAGTTGCTGGCCAGCCCCTTCAGCCGGTGCCACTCCAAGGTCGGGGAACGGCGGTACCCACCCCCTGGGAGCAGCCGGGGCAGCCCTCCCCCCCCCGCCGCCCCGGCGCTTGCTGACGCGGCGTCTCTCCCTGCAGGTGGACCCGGGCGGATTCTACGACGCCTGCATGTCCGCGTCCTGCTGGCAGGGGGGCACGGGGGCCGGGCAGCGGGAGGCCGTGTGCGCCACCTTTGCCAGCTATGCCCGCGAATGCGCCCAGGAGCTCGTCTACCTCGACTGGAGGAGGCCCGGGTTCTGCGGTAGGGGCCAGTGCGCTCCCCCAGCGGGCAGCTCCACAGCCGGGCCCGCTCCGGCAGCACAGACCCCTTCCCCCGGCGCTGCCCCCCGCCCCCACGCCCTCCCCTCGCACCTGTCTCCCATCCAGCCCTGGCCCCCACATACACCCACCCTCACGCCCCGGTTCACCCCCTGCACGCTCAGGAGATGCTCAGCCCCCTGGGCCGCCTGCCCGTGAATGCCCCTGGCTGGAAGGGCCTGGTGCATGTGTCGGAGACAGGGAGTGGGGCTGCCCGCTCGTGGCGAGGGCCATGGGTAAGAGACCCGCTACCGCTGTCAGCGGGGAGGAGCTCCTCTCACTCCGGCACCGCAGGCTGCGTGTGGGGAGCAGCAGCCCCCGCGGCTCTCGTGGCGTCGCCCCGCATGTGCTCCTCGGACGTGGGCGGGGCGACCGGGCAGACGTGCTCCCTGGGAGCCCGCGCCCGGCTGCCTGGCAGAGGGGGCGCTGCCAGCCCGGGCCTGAGGCGCCGTGTGTCTGCCCCGCAGAGAAGCAGTGCGGCCAGGGGAAGCAGTACTCGGACTGCGTGTCCTCGTGCCCGGCCAGCTGTGCCGCCGTGGGCACCGGCGAGGAGGGGCACTGCCGGGACGAGTGTGTGAGTGGCTGCGAGTGCCCGCCGGGCCTCTACCTGGAGGGGGGGGCCTGCGTCCCTGAGGGCGACTGCCCCTGCTACCACCGTCGCCAGAAGTACGCCCCGGGGCAGAGCATCCAGCAGCGGTGCAACCAATGGTGAGGAAAGCCCCCATCGGCCCTGCCCGCCGGGCACTGGTGTGGAGAGCAGGGAGGGGCAGCCCCTAAGGTAACCCCTCCCTGGTGCCCACACCCGCACGGCCGAGCTGGACTCGTCTCTGCTGTGCCTCGGGCAGCTGGTGGCACAGTGCCGTGCCAGGCTGGGGCGTGGCGATCCGCGGGGACGGTCTGGGCTCCGCGGGGCCCCTCAGTGACGGAGCGGGGCAGAGTCCCCGTCTCACAGCTCTGCCACCCCACGGTTCCGCCCCACCCGAGGGGAGGACAGCATTGTGTGGGGAGCCCCCTGCCTCCTGGGGAATCCCTGGGGGCCCTTCTCCCTCGCTCAGGCTGCTGCACCCCACTTTCCCCGGGGTACATCCCCAGCTCCTGTGGGGTACCTCCCTTGAATTGCAGAGGAGAACCACGGAGGATCGGGCCCGGTGGGGCGGGGGCAGGGCAGCTGCTGAGCAAAGGTACTTGAGTGGAACCAGACAGACAGGTGGCAGCTGGGATGCGACGCCCCGGGAGCTGCTGGGGACCCCTGGGTGGGAGCCCCAGGCTGGGCCTCCCCAGGCTGGAGGGGTCCCTCCTGGAGATGCCCCCCACCGTGTCCTGGGGGCCCCGGCACCAGCAGCAGTGCCTGCCGTGGCCCGGCGTACGGCAGGGGGCTCAGCGAGCCCTGGCGACCCTGTGCCCCGCTCTCGCCCCTGTCCCTGCAGCACATGCCAGGGTGGGCGCTGGTACTGCTCGCAGGACAAGTGCTCGGCCGAGTGTGCCGTGATCGGGGACCCGCACTACGTGACCTTCGACCAGAAGCGCTACTCCTTCCACGGCGTCTGCGAGTACATCCTGGTGCAGGTGAGGGGGGTCTGGGGCCCTGGGAGCTGCCGTGGGGCTTGGGGGGGCCAGGCTGCTGGCGAGAGAGGGGTCTGGAGCCCTGGGAGCTGCCATAGGGCTGGGGTGCCAGGGGAGGGGGGTCTGGTGCCCTGGGAGCTGCCGTTGGGTCTGGGGGACCAGGAGAAGGGGCGAACTGGAGCCCTGGGAGCTGCCATGGGGCTGGGGAGCCAGGGGGAGGGGGGATCTGGTGCCCTGGGAGCTGCCATGGGGCCAGGGGAAGGGGGGATTGGGTGCCCTGGGAGCTGCCACGGGCCTGGGGGGCCAGGCTGCTGGGGAGAGGGGTGTCTGGTGCCCTGGGAGCTGCCACGGGGCCTGGGGGGCCAGGCTGCTGGGGGGAGGGGTGTCTGGTGCCCTGGGCAGGAAGGGAACCCCACGGCATGGGGGTTGGGGGGCATGCTGTGCCCAAGCAGCACCTCGAGGAGCCTGGCCACTCAGTGCTGGTGCAGCTCCGGAGAGCCCCTCCACGAACAAACCAGTGCAGAGCCCCGCGGGGCCCCCAGCCCAGCCCGCACAGTGCCCTCGAGAGCGGCCGGCAGGTCCCGTCCCCTGGGCCGGGGCGCGCGGCAGGGAACGGCTGGGGAGCCGCCCTGGGCCGCGTCTCCGGCCCTCACAGGCTGGGGCACCGTTGCCTGGCAGGACTTTGTGGACTGGAAGCTGCTGATCACGGTGGAGAAGGTGGCGTGTGGGAGCAAAGGGGCCGTGAGCTGCCTCCGGGCCCTGACGGTGACTGCGCACAGGACCTCCGCCCGGCTCCACATCACAGGTCAGCTGGGCTTCGCCGCGGGGGAGTGCCTGGCAGCCCCTTGCAGAGACGGGCAGCCTGGGGGCATCAAGGGATTGCAGGAAGCGGGGCTGGCTGGCTTGGGGCTGGCTCTGATCTGCCCAGGGCAGAGGCCCAGCTGGCAGGTGGTGGGTCAGGGAGTGGGGTCGGGGCCTCTCTCTCTGTGCGGTTCTCCCTTGCCCTCCTCCTCTCCCATCTCCTCTCTGGCCCTTCCCTGCTGCAGGGGACGTGGCCGTGAATGGGCAGGAGGTGGCCCTGCCCTTTGCCAGCGCTGACCTGAGCATCCGACGGGCCTCGTCCTCCTTCCTGCTGCTCCAGGCCTTCGGCGCCCACGTGCTGTGGGGGCTGGAGTTCCCTGCCGCCTACATCACCCTGCAGCCCGGCTTCGCGGGCAAGGTGAGGCCCAGCGCGCTCCTGGTGCCCCCCGGGAGGGCCCTCGCAGCGGGGCGTTGCCCACAGGGCCCGAGGGGAGAGGAGCCCAGCTGTGGGCGTGGGCCGAATGGCCGGCTCTGAGTACCGGGAGCGGGGCCCGGAGCCTCCCAGGCCCGTATGGCGGGTGCCAGGTCTCTCGCGACTTGCATCGCAGACCCCGGGGTGAGGGAGCTGGTGGGTCTTCGCCCCGTGCCTGGCAGAGCAAGAGTCCGCGTCCCCCGCAGCCCCCGCAGGCCTGGCACCCGCTGGCCTCCCTGCGGCGTGTGGGGAGGGGGAGCTCCCCGGCTGCCCCCTCACCCCCTCCCCTGGCAGGTGCGAGGTCTGTGCGGCACCTACACCTGGAACCAGCAGGACGAGTTCACCACCCCCGCCGGGGACGTGGAGCCCAGCGTCGCCGCCTTCGCCAACAAGTTCCGGGCGTCCAGCGAGTGCCCCGCGCTCGGCTCCTTCGCCTTCGACCCCTGCAGCACCTTCGCCCAGCGCCGGGAGTTCGCCGAGGCCGCCTGCGGCACCCTCCACGGCCCGGCCTTCCAGGTACCCGCCCCGGCGGAGCCCCCGGGGGGCTGGGACCAGAGGCCACAGCGAGGGGCACCGGATCTGTGTGTGCGCGTGCCGGGGAGGGGGGCAGATCCAGGAGCGTTTGCTGTGTGCCCCTGGCACGGGTGTGGGCCTGTCTGGACGTCCCCGGCGTGTGTCTGCCCTGAGGGGTCCCGGTCGCCCCATGTCTGTGTCACGCGTGTCGGATGGTCACGGGACTGGCCCCCTCCACGTGCGGCTGTTCGCACATGTGCTGTCCGTGTGCCCATGCGTCTGTGGGGCTGGTTTCTGACGTGCCCCCCGGTGCTGTGCTCCCAGCAGAGGCCCCCGCAAGGGAAGGGCCTGGAGCCCGGGCGGCTGCTCCGAGCCCCTGGGTGACGCGCCCCCTGCCCTGTCCCACAGCCCTGCCACGACCTGGTGGAGCGGGACCCCTACTATCAGCTCTGCCTCTACGACGTGTGCGGCTGCTCGGCCGGCGGGGACTGTCTGTGCCGCGCCCTGGCCGCCTACGCCAGGCAGTGTGCCCAGGAGGGGGCGCCGGTGCCCTGGAGGAACCAGACCTTCTGCGGTGGGTGGCTGCCTAGGCTGGGCCCCACTGGGCATGTCCGGGGAGGGGAGCCCTGCCTGGCTGGGTGGGGCAGCCAGAGGATGGCTCTGGAGAAGGGGTGGAGAGGGTGTGGGATGGGCTCTGGAGAAAGGGCAGAGAAGGCGATGGGTGCTGGAGAAGGGGTGGGGGAGGGGATGGGCACCAGAGAAGGGGCGGGGGGGATGGGCGGGGGTTGGGCTCTGGGGAAGGGGAGGGGGTGGGCACTGGAGAGGGGGATCGGTGCTGGAGAAGGGGTGGGGGGAGGGGATGGGTGCTGGAGAAGGGGCGGGGGGGATGGGCGGGGGTTGGGCTCTGGGGAAGGGGAGGGGGTGGGCACTGGAGCGGGGGAAGGGCGCTGGAGAAGGGGTGGGGTAGGGGATGGGCGGGGGATGGGCTCTGGGGAAGGGGAGGGGGTGGGCGCTGGAGAGGGGGGATGGGTGCTGGAGAAGGGGCGGGGGAGGGGATGGGCTCTGGGGAAGGGGAGGGGGTGGGCGCTGGAGAGGGGGGATGGGCGCTGGAGAAGGGGCGGGGGAGGGGATGGGCTCTGGGGAAGGGGAGGGGGTGGGCGCTGGAGAGGGGGGATGGGCGCTGGAGAAGGGGCGGGGGGGAGGGGATGGGCTCTGGGGAAGGGGAGGGGGTGGGCGCTGGAGAGGGGGGATGGGTGCTGGAGAAGGGGTGGGGGAGGGGATGGGCGGGGGGCGGGCTATGGGGAGGGGGAGGGGGTGGGCACTGGAGAGGGGGGATGGGCGCTGGAGAAGGGGCGGGGGAGGGGATGGGCTCTGGGGAAGGGGAGGGGGTGGGCGCTGGAGAGGGGGGATGGGCGCTGGAGAAGGGGCGGGGGAGGGGATGGGCTCTGGGGAAGGGGAGGGGGTGGGCGCTGGAGAGGGGGGATGGGCGCTGGAGAAGGGGCGGGGGAGGGGATGGGCTCTGGGGAAGGGGAGGGGGTGGGCGCTGGAGAGGGGGGATGGGTGCTGGAGAAGGGGTGGGGAGGGGATGGGTGCTGGAGAAGGGGCGGGGGAATGGGCGGGGGTTGGGCTCTGGGGAAGGGGAGGGGGTGGGCACTGGAGAGGGGGGATGGGCGCTGGAGAAGGGGCGGGGGAGGGGATGGGCTCTGGGGAAGGGGAGGGGGTGGGCGCTGGAGAGGGGGGATGGGCGCTGGAGAAGGGGCGGGGGAGGGGATGGGCTCTGGGGAAGGGGATGGGGTGGGCGCTGGAGAGGGGGGATGGGTGCTGGAGAAGGGGTGGGGGAGGGGATGGGCGGGGGCGGGCTATGGGGAGGGGGGGGTGGGCACTGGAGAGGGGGGGATGGGTGCTGGAGAAGGGGCGGGGGGAGGGGATGGGCTCTGGGGAAGGGGAGGGGGTGGGCGCTGGAGAGGGGGATGGGCGCTGGAGAAGGGGTGGGGGAGGGGGATGGGCTCTGGGGAAGGGGAGGGGTGGGCGCTGGAGAAGGGGTGGGGAGGGGATGGGTGCTGGAGAAGGGGCGGGGGGAATGGGCGGGGGTTGGGCTCTGGGGAAGGGGAGGGGGTGGGCACTGGAGAGGGGGGATGGGCGCTGGAGAAGGGGCGGGGGAGGGGATGGGCTCTGGGGAAGGGGAGGGGGTGGGCGCTGGAGAGGGGGGATGGGCGCTGGAGAAGGGGAGGGGGTGGGCGCTGGAGAGGGGGGATGGGTGCTGGAGAAGGGGTGGGGAGGGGATGGGTGCTGGAGAAGGGGCGGGGAGAAGATGGGCGGGGGGCGGGCTCTGGGGAGGGGGAGGGCTGGGCGCTGGAGAAGGCGGGGCATGGGCCCTGGAGCCGGGGGGTTGGGGCACGAGGCAGGTCTCTGCTCTCGGCGAGGAAGCTGGGGGTGCCTGTGCTAAGGCCCCCTGCCCCCCTCTCCCTCTCCCCACAGCGGTGCCGTGCAGCGGGGGGCAGGTCTACCAGGAGTGCAGCGCCCCCTGCGGGAAGAGCTGTGCCGATCTGCGCATGGGGGCGGCCAGCTCCTGCCAGGCCCTGGCCGTGTGCGTGGCCGGCTGTAACTGCCCCGAGGGACTGGTGCTGGACGACAGCGGGCAGTGCGTCCCGCCGGGCATGTGCCCCTGCGAGCACGGGGGTGAGACCTACCCGCCCGGCAGCAAGGTCCACAGGAGCTGCAACGCCTGGTGCGTAGCCCTGCCCCGCTCCCCGCTGCGCTGGGCATAGAGAGGGTCGCACTGCAGAGCCTCCTGCACCAGCACCTCCCGCCGAGCTGGTGGGGCAGGCTGTGGGCCCAGCTCCCCAGCACAGCCCTTGGCTCTGCGTCACGGAGTTAGTGCCAGGCCCGGCCTGGGCAGGGGAGAGAGGGCATTGCAGCTGCCAGCCGCCCAGTCCCACCAGCACCCAGCCCAGAAAGGGACGTGGAGACTGGCTGGCACAGGGGGGCAGGGAATGGGGCATGGGGCTTTTCCCCGCTACGGGCGCTGGTTCCCATCCAGCTGCAGAGCAGGGACTGGCTGGCACAGGGGGGCAGGGAAAGGGGCATGGGGCTTTTCCCCGCTAGGGGGTGCTGGTTCCCATCCAGCTGCAGAGCAGGGACTGGCTGGCACAGGGGGGCAGGGAATGGGGCACGGGACTTTTCCCCGCTAGGGAGTGCTGGTTCCCATCCAGCCGCAGAGCAGGGACTGGCTGGCACAGGGGGGCAGGGAATGGGGCACGGGGCCAGATCAGACTGTAACTTGCTGTCCGGTGGTCCCTGCGTGAAAACCCCCCAGCACAGCAGGCTCGAACTGCCCCAGCAGAGAGCACAGGCAGACTGGGCCAAGGGCCTGCCCTTCCCTCTGCTCCTAGAGGGGACCCCAGGGGCAGGGCTGCCGCTGGTGCTCAGGGATTGGGGGAGAGGAACCCAAGCTGCCTGCAGCTGCTATTGCAACGAGCCATGCTGGTACCTCTAGGGCCCGATCCTTCCCCCTCAGGATAGGAGTAACTCCTGCTGTTGTTCCCGGGGGCTGCTTGTATCCTGCCGTGGGAGAATCTGGCCCCTGCGGGCTATTCATAGTGTGTGCACATGCGGAACTCACTGCCACAGGATCCTGCGAAGGGCAAGGACTATTCAGAGCTGGGTTAGAGCCTGCGGAGAGAGAGGCCTGCAGGGCTGCGCTGGGGCAGTGTTCCCAGGGCGGCCAGCCCTCACGTGTCAGGGCAGGAGCTGATCCCCAGCTGGGGGGAGGAAGGAATGGCCCCCATGGACCGTGTGGGGAGAGGAGGGCAGGGAGAGCGGTGTTTGGGAGGGGCGCCCAGCTCTCTCCCCTCAGATGGGGTGAGGTGGTGGTAGGAGATGTCTGATGAAATCACCCTATGGCCTGTTTCTGATGGCACCACAGGATAGGTGGATTTCATTGAATGTCTCTGCCACATGACGCCGGCTCCCGCCCCGCGCGTGGCCTGAGCCGCGGACCGTCCACCACGCGCCGGGAGAGCCAGGAGGCTCTGGGGGGGTCCTGGCCCGGGGGAAGCACACGCAGCAAGGAACCCCAGCCCCTGGCAGGGGAATCCAGGCAGATGGCAACAGCCTGGCTGAGCCCCTCTGCCAGCATGTGCCCCGGGATCTCACGAGCTAAGCAGGGTAGAGCCAGGTCACGATGGGATGGGAGCTGCAGGGAGGGGCGCTGTCCCCTGAGTCAGTGCTGACCCCAATGTGGTGCTGGGGAGCAGGGCGGGGGCTGGGCAGGGGGCCCGGGCTGGGGCTGCGGGGAGTGTAGGGGGGGCTCAGCAGGAGGCAGGGGCTGCGGGGAGCGGGGTGGGGGCTCGGCAGGAGGTGGGGGCTGCGGGGAGCGGGGGTGGGGGGCTCGGCAGGGGGCGGGGGCTGCGGGGAGCGGGGCGGGAGCTGTGGGGAGCGGGGCGGGGGCTCGGCAGGGGGCGGGGGCTGCGAGGAGCGGGGCGGGGGCTCGGCAGGGGGCGGGGGCTGCGGGGAGCGGGGCGGGGGCTCGGCAGGGGGCGGGGGCTGCGGGGAGCGGGGCGGGGGCTCGGCAGGGGGCGGGGAGCGGGGCGGGGGCTCGGCAGGGGGCGGGGGCTGCGGGGAGCGGGGCGGGGCTCGGCAGGGGGCGGGGAGCGGGGTGGGGGCTCGGCAGGGGGCAGGGGCTGCGGGGAGCGGGGCGGGGGCTCGGCAGGGGGCGGGGAGCGGGGCGGGGGCTCGGCAGGGGGCGGGGGCTGCGGGGAGCGGGGCGGGGGCTCGGCAGGGGGCGGGGAGCGGGGTGGGGGCTCGGCAGGGGGCAGGGGCTGCGGGGAGCGGGGCGGGGGCTCGGCAGGGGGCAGGGCTGCGGGGAGCGGGGCGGGGGCTGCGAGGAGCGGGGTGGGGGCTCGGCAGGGGGTGGGGGCTGCGGGGAGCGGGGCGGGGGCTCGGCAGGGGGCGGGGGCTGCGGGGAGTGGGGCGGGGGCTCGGGAGCGGGCCGGGGGCTCGGCAGGGGGCGGGGGCTGCGGGGAGCGGGGCGGGGGCTCGGCAGGGGGCGGGGGCTGCGGGGAGCGGGGCGGGGGCTCGGCAGGGGGCGGGGGCTGCGGGGAGCGGGCCGGGGGCTCGGCAGGGGGCGGGGGCTGCGGGGAGCGGGCCGGGGGCTCAGTGCGGGGCGCTCTCCCCTCCGTCAGTGCTGCCCCGTGCTCTGCTGGGGCTCCGTGCTGCCGTGAGGGATCCCCAGCCCTTTCCGGGACAGGGCCAGGGCCAGGACCGGCTGGCTCCCAGGAGCGCTGGGCAGAGGGGGCCCCGTTGCCTGACCTGGGTCAGGGTATGAAGGGTGACCCCTGGTCCCGGGGCAGGGCCGGGCTGCCCTGGCTCCGGTGACACCGTGTAGAGGCTGCGAAGGGCGGGGGGACCCCAGCGGCTGCGAGGTGCCCATGGGCTGCTTTGCCGGGACTCCGGGGTCGTGGGCTGCACCGCTCCTGAACCAGGGCTTGGGGAAGTGCCCCGTTCCAGAGCGGCGCTGAATCATGGAATATCAGGGTTGGAAGGGACCTCAGGAGGTATCTAGTCCCACCCCCATGAGTCTCGGGGGACCTGGGCTGGATTTGTGCAGGGCGCCGCGTGCTCTGGCTGGGAACCTGGGGGGACGCCCAGGACCATGCGGGGGCACGAGCAGAGAGCTGGGTTTCGCGTAGCAGCCGCCGGAGCGCATCAGCCCGGGGTCCTGTACCGAGCGTGGCCAGTCCCAGCTGTGTCCGGGGAAGGCGCGAGGACCCTGCAGTGGGCCGGGATGGGCTGGGGGTGAGGAAAGCTTCCCCCTAAAGCCTCCATCTGACATGGAGGGTTTGATCCCTTCCCTTCGTCCGGGGCGGGCTGGTCGCTGCGGGCGTTCCCCTTACCCGTGGCCCTGCCTTGCAGCGTCTGTGTGAACGGGCTGTGGAACTGCACCGACGACAGCTGCCCCGAAGCCGCCTTCTGCCCCGGGGAGCTGGTCTACGCCTACGGGTCCTGCCTGCGCACCTGCGCCACTGCCGAGGGCAACCTGAGCTGCCCGGGCCTCTCCGACGGCTGCGTCTGCCCGCCAGGCACCGTCTTCCTCGTGAGTCTCCCGTTCCCTCCCCTGGCTCTGCCCCAGTCTGGGAGCGTCTGGGGAGCCTGGCCCGGCACGGAGACACTAGCCCTGGCAGCTTGTCTAGCGGTGGGCCGGGCATGGGGGGCGGTGTGAGCCTGTCACGGACCCATAGGGTCGGGGCTGCGCCCCCAGCTTTGGAACAGTCTCTGGGAGGCCCCTTCACTGTGCCAGCCCCCCTGGGGGTCCCACTCTTCCTCCAGGGTGAGCCACACGGCCTCACTGCCCCATAGATTGGCCTTGTGGGCCTGCAGCCCCCACTCCCCATGAGCTCCGGACCACGAGTCCCCCGGAGACAGCCCCTGAGGGAGACTCGGCTGCTCTGCAGGGATCAGGACTCTGGAGAGGCACTCCCAGCACGGGCACAGCCGGGTTCAGTTGTTAGCTGGTGCCCAGCCTAGGGGCCCTTAGGGCAGCCCGGGGCAATGAAAGGTGAAGCAGGGTCCATCCTGGCCAGCCCCAAGCCCAGCCCGGCTGTGGGGAACCCTCGGGTCCAGCTCTGTCTGGGCGGCCTCCTTGGTCAGACTCTAGGTGGGAGCCCCGACTCCTTCCAGCCCCCAACTCTTGTCTCCACCTCCCTGCTCCCAGCCCTGTGTTCTCCAGCCAGGGATCCTTGTCCAGCCCCCCTGCAGAGACAGGGCGGCGGGGGAGCCCATCTCTCCCTGGGTCTTCGTTGCTAGGTGTCAATATCCTGGCATCTGGATTTGCCATTGTCTTCTCAGGAGCTCCACTGAGATGGGGACTAGGCCCAGCCACCTCGGGACACCCACACCCATGTCTCAGCCTGCCCTGAGAGCAAGTGCCCCCCCGCCACCCACTGGTAACAAAGCAGCACTCAGGGGAAACTGAGGCACACACAGGCTCTCAAAAACATGACAAAGCATTCCCATGTTGTGGCAGAGCCGGGAGCATTCCCAGCCCTTCCACGCAGAGGCTGAGCCCCTTGGGCAGGGGAGGGGAGATCTTTCACCTCCAGACACCTAGGTTGATCCCCGGCTTGGGCTGGATCCCTCTCCCGGGGGAGCCTTGCAGACCTGCCCAACGCAGAGCGGTCTGGGCCACCCCCGCCCTGCCCTGGTCTCTTGGGAGCTCTGGGGCCACGAGACCATTGTCACGCTCCCCTTCCTCCCCCCAGAACGAGCGCTGCGTCTCCCCGGACGAGTGTCCCTGCCACCATAACGGCAGGCTGTACCAGCCCAACGACACCATCGCCAAGGACTGCAACACCTGGTAAGGGCGCCCAGGGATCCGAAAGCCCTGAGCGAGGATTGCCACGTGGAGGGAGCAGGCCGTGGCGGTGGGCTGGTGTGGAGGGCAGGGCTGAGCTGGCATAGTGCTAAGGAGCCAAGTGGGATGTGCCGGTGCTGTGCCCGGGGCTGGGGGGGCTGGCAGTGCCCGGGGCTGGGGGGGCTGGCAGTGCCCGGGGTTGGGGGGCTGGCAGTGCCCGGGGCTGGGGGGGGCTGGCAGGCCCCAGAATGGTGTCAGGGCCCAGGGCCAGGGGTGCTGGCAGTGCCCAGGCCTGGGGCTGCTGGCAGAGCTGGGGGTGCTGGTGAGGCCTGGGGCAGGGGTGCTGGCAGTACCCAGGCCTGGGGGTGCCTCGGGCCGGGGGGCTGGCGGTGGCTGGGGTGCTGGTGGTGCCCAGGGCTGGGGATGCCCGGGTCTGCAGTGTGGCTGAGCCCCATGTCACGGAGTCCCTGGGCGATGCTCTGGAGCTGCTCCCCACGAAGCCAGGCAGGAGTGTGGGGCAGTCGCCTTTCTGTGAGCAGCCTGTCTGCAGGACACACAGCTCACCCGGCTTCCCCCTTCCTGGGTCTGACCTCGGAGCCTTCAGCCTCCTCTGCCCCTCCGTGCGCTTCCCACAGCGAGTCCGCCCAGGTGGGGTCCTGGGGAAGCCAGAGGGTCCTGCCCCCCAACTCCTCAGTCAGACGGGACTCTCAGCCAGCCAGTAAAACAGAAGGTTTATTAGACGAAAGGAACATGGTCTAAATCAGAGCTTGTAGGTGCAGAGAACAGGACCCCTCAGCTGGGTCCATTCTGGGGGGCAGTGAGCCAGCCAACCCCGTCTGCCCTTCACTCCATGTCCCAGCCAGCCCCAAACTGACTCCCCCTCCAGCCCCTCCCCCTCTGGGCTTTGTCCCTTTCCCGGGCCAGGAGGTCACCTGATTCCTTTGTTCTCCAACCCTTCGGCTCTCACCTTGCAGGGGGGAAGGGCCCAGGCCATCAGTCGGCAGGAGACAGAGTGTTGGACATTTATGTACCCTGGCCCTTTGCTCTGCAACAGTGACACCCCCTTATCCCGCCCCCTAGAGTCTTAAGAAGTGCGTAGGGGAAACAGGCACCCCCGCACTATTCGGAGGAAACATTAAGAACAGCCCCCCTTCGTCACACCCCGACACCCCTCTCCCTTCCTGTGCAGCGAGTGCCGGAGCCGTCGCTGGCAGTGCAGCACCCAGCACTGCGTGGGCACCTGCGTGGCCACGGGAGACCCGCACTACGTCTCCTTCGACGGGCGGGCCTTCTCCTTCCTGGGGGACTGCGAGTACGTCCTGGCACGCGAGGGCAGCGGCCTCTTCACCGTCACCTCCGAGAACGTGCCCTGCGGCACCAGCGGCGTGACCTGCACCAAGTCTGTGGTGGTGGTGATCGGGAACGCCGTCGTCCACCTCCTGAGAGGTGGGGGGCCGTGGGGGGAGAGGGGGCAGAGCACTAGGGGTTCCCGGCTGGCCCCTGGGCAGGCCAGGCCAGAGCCAGGCTCTCCAGGCCAGTCTGTCCCCCAAGAAGGGGCTTGCGGGTTCCCAGGCCAGGCTGAGTTCGTGTCTCTCATCGGGGCCCCTCTGCGCGGGCTCCCTGCCCAGCCGCTGCTGCTCCCGCACAAGCCCCGCGCGGACCTGCACCCGCTGGCTGGCAGCCCCAGCCCGCGCCCCACGCGGCTCTGCAGACGGCTCTGCTTCTCTGCCTCCAGCCGTGCGGGCGCTGCTTCCAACCGCCTCCTGGCCTGGCTCAAATCAGCACCCTGCCCCCCGGCCTGGCCAGGAGCAAGGGGGTGTGCGCTGAGGAGGGAGGGGAGGGGCGTTGTAAGTTCCCTGGTTAGCAGAGCCATCGCAGTTGAAGTGGGTGGGGTTGCATTTCATTGCATTGCAGGCTGGCAGCATTGCGGTGTGGTGCATTACAGTGAGTTGCATCTCCGCGCGGGGCGTGGGGTATGGATTGCAGTGCGGCGTGGTCCATCGCAGTCCGATGCGGTGCATTCCTTTGCATCACAGTGGGGTGTGCGGCATGAGGTGGAACCGCCGTGCGGTGCATTGTATTCTGTCGCGGTGTGGTGCGTTACGTGGTATTGCATCCCGGGGCGGGGCGTTGCGCTGCATCGCAGGGCAGTGCCATGTGGCGAGATGCAGCATAGAACGGTGCAGTATATTGAATCGCAGGGAGCTGCGTTGCATCCCGGGTTGGTGCCTTACGTTGCATTGCACTGCGTTGCATTGCAGGGCGTTGCGTTGCATTGCACTGCAGGGTGCTGTCTTGCGTTGCATTGTATTGCATTGCATGGCACGGCGTTGCGTTGCGTTGCATCACAGAGCGGTCCGGTGCATTGCATCGTGGGGTGGCGGGGTGCCGCGGTCGTTCTGCACTGTGCTGTGTTTCCCAGGCTGTGCGGGGCCCTGCGGCTGGGGAGGGGAGCTCCCCAGACACTGACTGTCCCTCTACGCTCTGATTTTTCTACCTGTGGCCAGGAAAGGACGTGACAGTGAACGGAGTCTCAGTGCGGCCCCCAAAGACCTACAGCGGGAATGGCCTGACCCTGGAGCGAGCTGGCGTCTTCCTCATCCTCATCTCCCAGCTGGGGCTGAGCGTGCTCTGGGACGGAGGTGAGGCCCTGCCAGGCCGAGGGGGCGGGGCCCTGCCAGGCCGCAAAGGGCGGGGCCCTGTCTGGCCCAGGGGGCGGGGCCTTGCCAGGTGGGACATGGGAAGCACATGGCTTGTTTCCCTGATGGCCTCATGGGCTGTCACCTGGGCCCTGCTGCCCTTCTGTGACTCCTGGAAATCAGTGAGAAGACGAACTTGTTCCATCTGATCTGCCCTGTGGCCCGGGGCAGGGTCACTCCCTATAGTCTGTGCTCCAGGGCTTTGCCCAGCTGAGTCAGAAACCTCCCTAGCCATGGGGCTGCCCCCTGCCCTGTTGTGTCCAGTGCTTCTCTCTGCCAGGGACTGATCCTTATGCTTGCCGTACAGGCTGGGGCACCCAGCCGTTCCCCCGCTGCAGTAAGATCCTGGTGGTACACTACGGTTAGGCTGAATTTCCCCCAGAGCCTGGTGCGGGAGTGGGGGGGCCCTGGAGGGGGTGGGGCTCCCCCCATATGGAGCTCCTGGGAATGGAGAGCTCCCATCCCTCCCCCCAGCAGAACCCCGAGCCCACTGCCCTCTGCCCCCACAGGCACCCGGGTGTACGTGAAACTGGATCCCCGGTACCAGGGCCGCGTGGCGGGGCTGTGCGGGAATTTCGACGGGGACACGGAGAATGACTTCACCAGCCGGCAGGGTGTCGTGGAGCCCACATCCGACCTGTTCGGCAACTCCTGGCGCGTCAGCCTCCTGTGCCCCGAGGTCAACAACGAGGACTTTGAGCACCCCTGCACCGTACGTCCCCAGGCAGGGGACAGGAAACCCGCGCCCATAAGAGAGGGGAATGGGGCGGGTGCTGTGCCGGGTGGAGGCTGGGGCGCTGTCCCGGAGTCCCCGGGCAATGCTCTGGAACTGCTTCCCATGAAGCCAGGCAGGACTCTGGGGAAGTCTCCTTTCTGTGAGCAGCCTGTCTGCAGGACACACAGCTCACCCAGCTTCCACCTTCCTGGGTCTGACCTCGGAGCGTTCAGCATCCTCTGCCCCTCCGTGTGCTTCCCACAGCGAGTCCCCCCAGGCGGGGTCCTGGGGAAGCCAGAGGCTCCTGCACCCAACTTCGCAGTCAGACGGGACTCTCAGCCAGCCAGTAAAACAGAAGGTTTATTAGACAAAAGGAACATGGTCTAACACAGAGCTTGTAGGTGCAGAGAACAGGACCCCTCAGCTGGGTCCATTTTGGGGGGCAGTGAGCCTGACAACCACGTCTGTACTTCATTCCATGTCCCAGCCAGCCCCAAACTGAAAACTCCCTCCAGCCCCTCCTCCTCTGGCTTTGTCCCTTTCCCGGGCCAGAAGGTCAGCTGATTCCTTTGTTCTCCAACCCTTCAGCTCTCACCTTGCAGGGGGGAAGGGCCCAGGCCATCAGTGGCCAGGAAACAGGGTGTCGGCCATTCTCTGTCTCCAGACCCCTGCACACACCTGCCCTCTAGGGCTCTGCAATGATCATACACCCTTACCCCACCCCCTAGAGACTTAAGAACTGCCTAGGGGAAACTGAGGCACCCCCACAATGTTCAGAGGAAACATTAAGAACAGTCCCACTTCGTCACATCTCTCCCCCCTTCGAGATCGAACTGAGCGGGGTCACTTTAGCCGGTGACCTGGGGAAGTTCGAAGCCACCAGCGTTCCCATGGATGCCCCAGCATCTCTCCCATTCCTTGGTAGGAGTTACACCAGGCCCTTCCAGTTTCACGCCCTCCCTTAGGACGGGGGTGGTCAATAGCACTCGCAGGCCGCATGTGGGAAGGTTTATGTGGCCTGTGCCCTTTGGCCACCCCAAAACCCCAGGGGGTCAAACTGGGATTGGGTCTTCTCCCCAACAAGCTGGCCAAACACAGCCACTTGGTTATAGGACTGTTTAACTTTCTTAACTGCTTTCACTCCATCTGAGACCTTCTCAAAGCTCTCCACACTGGATCTTTCAACAGGAAAGTCAGTGGATCCATTCAAAGCAGAGATTTTCTGACTGTTAGGAACTGAAACTTTCTTGATTAAATCACTTTCACACCCTTCAGTTGCAGTAAACTGCTTGCAAAGACTCCATGAGGATTCCTTTCCCTAGGGGCTTTTCTATGCAACAATTCACCCCTCCCAGAAACTCTGCTCTTACCCTCTTTACCAAGGGCTTGCTCTAGAGGAACACTTTCCTGAGCAACAACAGACTCTTTCTGGGTTTCCCTTACATCCAGAATCACCTCTGGCCCATCCAGCGGATTCCTACACAATCCCCTTTCAGGCAAACTTACAGACTTCCTAGATAAAAGGCTAAAGCATTCTCCTTCCCTTTGCCACACATAAGTTCAGGAATCTTTTCCTTCTTGCTACAGGTTTCCACACCCTCAGTAGGTAACACAATCACATCACCTTCATGCTCTCCTTGTGCCCTGGCTAGGATCTCACCCTGATTAGACAGAGTTGCTGCACCCTTTCCAACAACACACTAGCAACAGGCAAAATACAAGCACCAGAATTGTCTGGGCTCTGGGATTTTACATAGACACTAACTGGATGCAACCTAGTTACCGGGCCATTCTCCCGAGCAGACACAAACTTAGGACCCTTTCCTTCCTGTGCTTTAGCTGAGTTCAGAACCAACTCTGAGACAACTGCACGACCCTCAACCACCACAGGCTGAAAGGCCCCTTCTGTCTGCTCCACAGACAAAGTGCCGGACACACTTTCTCCTTTACCAGACACACAGCTTGGGATCTCTTTCCCCTTGTCCCAGCACACAGGGCTAGTCACAGACAGCTGGTTGGAGATCAGGGTAGCTCCCTCCATAGGCAAGTCAATGACAGACACAGGCACGTTTCCTTCCCTGTCACACTTCTCCACCCAGGTAACAGGTAAGGTCCAGACCACTCATCTTCCACTCTCCTCGCCTTCCCACACTGCTGACTAGACAAAGCCATCAGCTCACAAGGCTGCCTAGGCTCATCCAGACTTTCCTTACCCAGCACCTTGCCACTCCCCACAGATCCCCTGCCCTGCCTGTGTCTCCCCCCACTCAGCTGGGGTCTCAGCTCCCACTGTGCTCAGCGCTGCCCTTGCTGTCCCAGTGGGGGCAGGCAGCGAGCTTGCTGCTTTCCTCACTGCATCAGAGCCAGCGTGAGCCCCCTCTCCGGTGTGCAAGGGGGCGGGGAGCATCTCTCTGTCCCACCCAGCCCCAGGGGGCTGGTTACAGGAAGGAGGTAGCCTGAGCCTAGCCGCTCCTCCCCCCTGCCAGCCAGGTCATCTGCATTTTCACTGACCATTTCCCTCTCCACCGATTGGTTCCCTGGATTCAAATTCAAACCCTTGGCCGTTACAGGAGCAGGGCCTGGATCCTGTCCCAAAGAGACACAGTCACCCCACAACAGGGTCTCGCAGCCAATGTCCTGGAGAACCCCAACGACCAGCCAGCCCGACCCCTCCTGGGTCTGCACAGAGATCTGGGCCATAGGCAGGGCGAGGGGCTTCGTCCCTGGGACCCTCACACAGCCCCTCAGCATCTGAGGCTGCACCACCCAGGGCCTGACACCAGTTCTCTCTGTCCCAGGATCTCGCCACCCCAGGAATGTCTCCCCATTGACCATCCCCTTCCGCTCCCACTGGAGGTCCGAGGGGCCTGGCCCCAGGAGACTCCGCACAGACATATAGGTTGGGGTCAGGAGTGGGAGCCTGTCCACCTCCCCACCCATCTGGCTGACGGAGTCTATGGCCTTGGGACCCAGCAAGGGAGCTAGACACCGGGGGCTTTTCCACAGGGTCCCCCTGGTTCAAATCGCCAGCCTGCTCAAAGGCAGTGAGGTGGGCATTCACATCCCCCCCCCCCCCCCCGTTAACCAGGGGCAGCAATTTAGTCTTGAGGTTCCCTGCAGAACTGGCCCCCCGGGGTCTATCCCCATTCACCCCGGGGGGTCCCCTAGGCCTCTCCACTCCCCCACCGCCAGTTCATGCATCTCGGGCTCTCGCTGTCTCTCACAGTCCTCTTGCTCTCTCGCACTCAGCTCCAATCCCGTCCATCTCCGATCCCCCGATGGGGAACCCGATCGTGAAGACCCCTGTCTGGTTGGGGACAGGAGTCTTGGGGATGCCTGGCTACCACTCCAGCTGCTCCCAGATCCTGCCATAGCCCCATTTGGGGTCAGGAATCTGTCCCTTAGAGCGGTCATCCTCCTCCAGCTGCACGATTAACTCTGCTTTGGTGAACTTTCCAATGCTCAACCCTCTCTTTCTGCACAGGGTTACAATGTCCTTCTTCAGGAGACGGTGACAGGCCATCACTCCGCTCCTCCCAAGTTGTTGTGGACTCACAGGCCTGTGTGCTCTTAGCTCCCCATGGTTTCCAGGGAGAACTCCTGGTGTGCCAGCCCTTCTCGAGGTCACCACCTCTTTGCCAGGGTCGAGCTGCAGACTTCTCCGCCCCTGGGACTGCTCGCTGCAATCCCCCGGGGGACCCTGTTACTGCAAAAGTCCTTCTCTCTGGTCACACACTCCCAGGGTTTAACCACCCCCTGAAACTGTCTCTCTCTGAATCTTCAGCACGCCTGGTCCCTGTCAATCCCTCTTCATTTTACTGCTCCCCAGTCACTTACTGCAGGAAGCGCCATCCGCGGGGTGCAGTAGATCCCACCACTACCACCAATTGTCACGGTGTCCCCGGGCGATGCTCTGGAACTGCTCCCCATGAAGCCAGTCAGGACTCTGGGGAAGTCTCCTCTCTGCGAGCAGCCTGTCTGGAGGACACACAGCTCACACAGCTTCCACCTTCCTGGGTC